AGTTTCAGAAGTTTTTTACGCGCAACCTAAAGAAACTCTATAACAATCAATTTAAATGTGCATTTTAGTTTAATTAAAGTTTTGTTCGACTTGATTCCTTCTTCTCTTCTCGCCCCATGACCAAGTTGATTCTCTCTTTCTATTATATTTTCTGTACTTTATTTGTTGTGGCATTCCCATTCAGGCTGCGTCCATTGCTGTGTCATTTGAGGTGTACCACATCGCACATCGGGGCACAGCCGCAATAGCAATTGCATTTGAGCATTTTGCCACACATTCCCGGTAATGTTGTGTGTTTAAGTGCAATTCTCCGTGAACAATTACCATCACAGGAAAAAATAGGAGGGAGCAGAGATGAGCCACCCACATGGGAGGAAAGTCAAGAGGCAATTAGTTTCAAGTTGTTGCCGCAGACAATTCTTTGCTGGCCATTTAGCATAAATGTTTTGGCACTTAGGCCAAAACGAGCGGCAGCCTCCAAAGTGGCCAAAAAAGAGAAACTAAGATGAACTCGACCCACAATGATTCTTGCACAGTTTTTGTACCCCACAACACAACACACTTCCATGCTAATGAGCTCCTTTTTCCGAGCAGCAAAGATTAATCGCATTGCGTATACGCCGCGTTGCGCAGCAAATCGAAGCGGAATCCCTTAGGCGTGAGCAATTGGCACTCCATCTCTCAGGCAAATTCAATTCACTCGAAACACATGAATAAGTAAGCCAGCAGGCTTCGAACCGGAGATCCGAGATGGCTCCAGAAGTCTGTGGCAGCCTGTGAGGAGACTCCATACATACATCCCATGCAGTGAGAAACAAATGTGGGATTGAAAACTAAATACAACAAGCAATAATGTGTGAACGAGGATCAAAAATATATAATATAAATATTTTTTATATTTTATTTTATTTTATTTTTTTATTTTTACATTCAATAGTTTAAAAATTCATCGTACAATTTATAAGTTTCTTTGGAAATTTTGTTTTGGTGTGTAGTCTCTCTGTTTTACTTATAAGATTTCTCAAACTGCACAAATGTTTACTCGTCTTGACCCCCTTTGCCGCTCCAGTTGTCCAATTGAAAGGGAACATTTGCTGCGCGCTGCCGATTTTTTGGCATCTCTGCCTTGACAAACAAGGTTCGGCGGAAAAAACGGGGGAGGAGCCCAAAAGTTTTGACTGCCCAGGCAGCTTTTCCCCGATTTTCCCCGCTTTTCTCCGCTTTTCGCTGCTGTCATCTTGCCTTAAATCCAATTGTGTTGTCGTCTGTGCGCCCGGGTATCGCCCACGCCAGAATCTTGCACCTGCAGAATGCAGAATGCAGTTTGCTGCGGCTCATGTCAACTTTTGAACTCCCACGCTCCGGAGAAAGCGGAGAAAGGAGAGAAGCGAAAGTGGGTGGAGAAAGTGAGAGTGAGGAGGCAGCATGGCATTGCATGTGTGCCAAAAGTTACGGAGCAATAATATCCGTAGCTTGCGACTCGCTGACTGCCACTGCCATTGATTTTTATCGCCTCGGGCGCTGCACAAAGCTCAACTAGCGACTCCGACAATAAGTTGATTTGCCATGCCCACAGCGGACTTAAGCTGTGCACAAATCAATGCAGAATTGGTAATACCCTTTCAAGAAAAAAACAAAAAAATAAAATTAAAAAGTCCCCGAAAGATACACTTATCTTTAAAAACCCTGACTTTTTAGGAAGGTATTATTTAAAAACAAAAAAACATTTCCTACAGAGCTTAAGAGTTTAAGTTTATGGTTAGAAACAAAATTGGTTTTTCAATGAAAAAACTGATTGTGCTGGTTAATAATCATTTTAAACATTAATTAAAGCTGAGAAAGAAGGCCATAGTAATATTATTACATTTCTTGGTAGGTTGGAAAGGAAAAATAGGCACTGTAAGTAACCCAGACCTTGAGCCAGCTATTTTAAGTTTTAACTCGTTGTTGTTAACTTGGTAATTTTGATATAACATGGAGGGAAGACAAAAGGTTGAACAAATATAATTATATTAAAATTAAATAATGATAACAAATTTTAAATCTTACATTTTTATTTGCTCAAATTGAAACGCTGATCTAAACAACCTATTTTGGGCTATTTTCAATTGTCAAACAATTCCCTTCTCAATGCGCAATTTCGCCGCAAATCAACTTAGCTCCCTACTTTATTTATGCTAAAGAGTATCGCTGGCAAAAACAAAATCGGTTTTTGTAAATCATCAAAAGCCCACTCAGGCAGGATTCAATGGGCTGATGCACTTTGCTGATGGGATGGCAATGGGCCTCCTCCTTGGATATATACATATATCGCGTAGTTCTCGGGCCTGTCGCTGTTTGTCATATGCGATTCGGCTGCTTGCCAAATATTGATTATGTGCCCTCAAACATGAATGGAAGCGCGCTTCGCTGACTCCGCTCAAGTGGTGGTAAAATTCGGGGTATAGGGCACAATCCGGAGGCCTAGAGTATAGGGTATGGCAAAAAAAAGGGGCAAGATAAGCCAGAACTTCGACGTATGCACGTCATCAGGCCGAAAAAAGCACATCCGGTATAAGTAATGTGCAGGCGAAAAAAACTATAGCCATAGCCAATGCAAACGGATGGATGAGGGATCCTATGGTGGCCTCAAATCCAGTTAACAACTTTAATGAGATGGCACACTTGGAGAACTGTAATAAAAGACCAAATGCGCCATGAACGTTAACAAATACTTGCCAACTTTCTCTCTTTCTTTAGTCATTGTTTGCATAAAAACCCAGAGTTCAATGAGTTGACAAATCATTTAAATCCACAACAATTGTATGTATTTGAAGCCCCAATTTACTCCCAAAAAATGATGGTAAAAGCCCAAACAATGCTTTCATTCAGCATTCTTTTACATCTGCCTTTTTCCTAGAATAATTTGGAACTGCCATAAAAATGTCAGACTGCAACGGTCTGGTATTTATTTCGACAGCCAACACAATTCATAGCTTTTAACTGGCAACTGTGCAAAGATAAATAAGTACAAGCGCGCAAACCGAAGACCCAATATATGGACAACCTTCAGGACCAACTTTTGGCTGAATGGCAGGTCAAGATATTCGCACTGGCAAGCAAACTAGATTATTGTAAGGCCAAACAAATACCAAGTATGCGGAAATCTCTAGTTGAGTTCCCAATCTATTTTAGTTTTTACTTTTGATTTATCAAATAATTTCTTTTGCTTATAAGTCATTTGATATTGTCTATGATTTTTTGTTTTATTTATGAAGTTGTTTGTAGAGTATAATATAATAAAATGCTTTTAATATAAGAACGTATAAATCTTTGAATAAAAATGAATTTCAATTTATCAAATAATTTCTTTGGCATGTGACCTTTTTGATTTTGTCCGTGATTTAAAAATACTCTTAAAATGTTGTTTTTTATCATTTTGATAGTAAAATAAAATGTCCTACTAATTAACTATAAAATAAAAATTTAAGTTCGAACGTAAAAGGTAAATGTGCCAAATCAATAATTTTGATTTATCAAATAAATCTTTTGGTAATAGACTAATACTTTATTTGATATAAAAATACCCTTAAAATGGTTTTGTTTAACAACTAGTTAGTAAGGGTATAATAATAATTGCCATATTTAAAATAGAAGAACTTATAAATCTTTAAATGATATTGGTTCAAAAGTGATTTTAACACAATTGCCTACAAAGTATTATATTAAGATTCAAGTTCAAAAGTTATAATTAGTTTAACAAACTGTCAAAAGTCTTCAGGCCATAAGGACAAATATAGTTGATAACTTAAAATTTAAGACTGACAAATTTGTACCAACTACACATACACCTTTCTGTAATTTAATATAATCTGATAAAAAGCTTACCAAAACGTCTTCGAGTGCACTTACTGGTACTTTTATAATTCTAACAGGCTTTTCCGCTTCATTCGCTACTTTCCCGAGAATGCCTTCAATCCCTTTGGAAACCTTTCACTTTGGACAAAATTGGTCTGGATGTGGGCCACGCCTTTCGAAAACACGGAACCAAAATTGGCAAGCCATTAAGAAGCGTGCACTGTTGTTGTTTACACATCTAAAGCAATTTTATCGCCTGCGAACAATGTTTGGACTAAGTATATTTTATGGCCGCAGCCTCGCCCAACCGAATTTCCCCCATAAATTCCCCCAAAACTTTCCCGCTGCAGGTGAAAGGAAAAAAAAGGACGGAAAATGCCGAGCTGGATAGCACCAGCACCGCCTTATCACAATATTTGCGGCACATCACTTGATTATTGGCTTGTCTGTCAACTAGCATGAGTATTATATTATTTTTATTCCTTATCTAGGTTGGGGTTTGGATCCCGCATAGGTGCCATTAAGGCCGTTTGACAACTTGGGAAATGTGTTTGTGTTTGCGCAGCTCGGGTAATTGTGACCGATAAAAACCCCAGCTCAAATACGAAAAGGGCTTCACGAAAATGTGGAAAACCTGAGTAAGTAGCATGTCGAATTACAAACGCTAATTGACTCGTAAAGTTGCCAAAAGTGCGGCACGAGTCAAAATATCGATTGCATTAGCATAAATTCATAAAGCAAAGTATGCAGGAAGTATTGTGGAAGTGATTTCATAAGTTCTCTTTTATTTTATACTTATACTATTTGCAAATTTCATGTAATTAAAATGCTTAAGTATAAACATATATACGCATTAAAATCGTTTAGCAATTAGATAGAACTTTTAAATAAAGTTGTTGCAAATATAGTTAGCTTTAACATTGCATTACAATATTATATTAGGTATAAAGAAAAATATGCAAGAAATACTATGAAAGTAACTTCAAAAGTTCTCTGTTATTTAATATATATTTATTTTTTTGCGAAATTCATTTGATAATAATGTTTAAGTATAAAATGCCTGAGTATAAAATCAGTTTCACAACTTGATACAACTTTTAGCAAGACAGAATTAATATTATTATAGCTTATAAATAAAAATATATAAGTTATATTCCACTTACCAACTAAAGAGTATTTACTTCACTTGGTTTTTTACTTTAAGGGTTTTGTTTAAGCGTTGATTAAGTTTTTGATTTTGTGTTTATTTGTTAGAGCATAGGAATATATTTATGTTACATTTGCCAATGTATTAAGGGGAATTTTCATTTATCTGGCATTTGGAAAATATTTTTTCTCACAGACACACGCGCTGGAAAACAAAGAGAACTTATATTATTTTACACTTTTTAAGCAATCTTTTTAAACGCGAAAGGAAAACGTATTCCTTTCAACGCGTTGGCATTATGGTAATGCCAGTCCTAGTGCGGATTTTCATTTTCATTTTCCTTTTCCGCCAGCCTATCTGTCTGCCTTTCGGGCCTTTTTTTCCTTTTTTCGCCCGACTGTATTTGAATTCGTACGTATGTGGGTGGTACACGCCTTACTTTTATTTCACCCAGGGAAAACACTTTTCTTGCGGCCCTATGCACTCACAATTCAAATGAACTTCAATTCGGAATTATATTTTCTGTTGTGTTTTGTTTGCTGTTCCATTGTTTCGATTTTATTACACATTTTTGGCCGCGGCCTGTGGAAAATGGGGTGTAGAAGAGGATTGGAGGAGGGTTTTTTTTGGGGGGAGGGCCTTTTTCGATTTTCCGCTGCTCACGCACACAGTTTTTCCAAGCACAGCACGCTCCAAAGTCTAGCCACGAACTGAAAGCGTCGGGGAAACTTCAAACTCGAGCAGCAGGAAAAGCGGAAAACCGAGAAGCTTCCAATGTCAATGCGAAGCCAATCCTTTGTACGAGGAATGTGTTATTTTGGAAGGCCCAAACCTCCTGGAAAAGTCACTCTCTCTCTCTTGGCCTCTCTTCCGTTGGTAGGAAAAGTCGCTCTCTCGTTTCGGGATTTTCCTCTCTCCCGCTGGTTTTGTTTTTTCGAGTTGTCTAGTGCGTGCGTTTTGACAACTACATTCCGCCCCAAAAAGAAATGAGTTTTGAAGTTTTCAAAGTAGATTTTCACTTGCAAAGTTTAATTAATATGAATGTCTGGCATGCCTGCTACATATATGTTTCCTTTTTCTTTTTCTTGTTGTTTTTCTTTTTCTTTGGCTTTTCATTTTCTGGGTGAAATTTATTGGCCGTGCGGGCGTGCTTTTTTGTTAAAAATAGCCGCCTTAGCCTCGCAATGCGTCGGCAGCCTCAGCGACAGCATCAAGTTCAGATGGCTTCTATTTGTTTCTTTTTCTGTTTCGGTTCTTTATTTTTGGGGGACCAGCTTTTATGGAGAGGGAAAGACAACTTTTGACCTTAGTCAAGCGAAAAGAGCGGCCCACCTGTCTTTGTTTGTGCATACATCTTTTAAGCGGCTAATTGGCCAAGTTGCGTTGTGGCTGCCAAATAATTTAGGCAACTGCAACTACTCGGCTAATTACTAGCCATAAATGAATAATCAAGGGGAGAGGGAGGTGGTGAGGGTGACTTTAACCCCAAACAATAAAAGCGAACCCCCTAGGAAGCCCGAATCGCTGACACATGAATTTATGATTTCTTTGGCCGTGTTGTTATTGCCTTTATGATTATTGCGACGCCGCGTCTGTTGTCTGGCTTTTCCGACTTTTCCCGCCTGACGCCAACTAGCATTTAGCGACTAGCAACCCCCGTTTTACCATTGTCAATCATATGACCCCCTTCGAAGATCTGCTTATTCGGGCTTCCGTTGGGCAATTTTTTTCGGTTACCCAGTTGTTTATCTAGTTTTTGCCCCAGAAATGCTCCTTTGGCATTATTAATGTCCTGTGAGAGAGAGATACAAACTCTAAGAGATTCCCCGAAAAATCAATTGATTGACTGCGATGGCCACATTTTCTGCACTTTTAAGCGCGTCACAAGAAATTTAGATTTCAGATTATACGTTTCGGTATTTGTATTTGTGCTTTCTTTTGCTTTCTCTCTCCCTTTTCATGGCAAAATCTCTCTTGTCACACTTGATTTATTTTCGAAATTTTAATTTTTCCTCAATGACTTCTTGGCATTTTTTCACGAATTTCCACGCACACACACACTTTTTTGTTGTTTGCAGCCCAGGAGTTGCATTGGATTGGTAACAATTGATGGCCAGTCGCCGACTGACTGGCCGACTGACCAAGTGACCAACTGGCTAAATGACTAGCCAGAATGACAGAATGCCAGCACTCCAGAAAAAACACGACCGAAACCGAGTCCGCCATTAAGTATACGCCATGCGACACCCGACCGAAGTGTTTGTTCAGGTTGTTCAGGTTGTTCAGGCACCCACCACACACACGTCCGTTCTCAGCTGTGGCCCAGCGCTATTGAGAGCGTTCCGCCGGAGACAGAGACAGAGAAAGGCGCTGCTGCCGGATCCGGCGCTGCCGACGGCGACGTCGTCGTCGTGGTGAGTTTGCGGCCAGCTGATTGCGGAAGAGCACGGCGCGTTTCGAAACGCCAGCAGGGGTGGAGTGCTTTGGAAAGGCATAACTGTAATAGGGGGTGAAAGAATTGAACATTAAACCATTATATTTTATAGTTTGGATCAAAAATTTAAACTTATATTTTTTTCGAGGTCGCCAATTTTAGCATTTTTTATAAGGGGTACCATCATCATTTTTTTCAAAACTTGTTCCAACCCAAAATTTTTGAGCTGTTAATGCCAGTTTGTTGGAAATTTTATGACGAATTCAACGAGGTATGGCATTCCAACATTGAACCATTATAATTTATAGTTTTGATCAAAAAACTGCAATTTAAAGTCATTTTTTCGAGGTCGCCAATTGCAATTATAAAACAATGAAATATTTAATTTGATTTTTTTAAATTTACTGTTACTGTAAAAAATGTTTGATCAAAAATCTAGGTAAAAACATTTTATAAAAATATTTTAAAATAAAATATTAAATTATTATATTTATCTTAATATCAAAAACAATAGCATATGAACATTTATTCGGTTTGATGTGATGTCACACAACCTGAAAATAAACTCATGCCGTTCGATACGACTCTCAAATGTTTGCGCCAATTTTTTTAAGGACTTTAAAAAAAAAATTTGTATGACACCCATTCAAACTAATTAAGTTCTCGTTATTTATGGCCATTTATTTTAAATGACAGGCGTAGACAAAGGACAATCAGGAAATTTTATGATGCTCAAATCCAAGGCATATGGTTTTCTTTTGTGCTATCCTGTTTATCTGAAGGACATGTAGTGAAAAGTTCCCTCTGCCCTTCTGTGTTTTGCCCATCCTTGTTTTTCATTCGACGCCTTGACCAGCCATGAATATAAATTATACCCTAAGTGACAGGAGGAGGCTGTTATGGCTAAACAATCATAAAGAACAGCCGGCACGAATTGTTTTCAGATTTTTATAGTGCTTCTAGTCAAGCAAAACAGAGAGGTAGTATGCGAAAAGCGTTTGAATAGATGCGAAAACATATTTCAGCTTAATGTTATTATCTGTTAAAAGATTTCAGGTGGGCAATAAAATACAAGCGATTTAAAGTATGGGCTTAAAATGTTTGTAGAAAGATATTGAAGTTATGCGAATAAGATAATGTTCTTATTTGTATCAATAATATCTTTTTTCACTACTTTTTATCCCTGACGCATTGATTTCATAAATTATAAAATGGTTGCATACATTTTTTATATTTCTAAATTGATTAAACTTAAAACTTATACAACTTTTAGACAGTCCATATTATAATTGTAAGGCAATTTAAAAGAGAATTGCCTAATAATAAAGACAAGATTTTGCATATTCCTAAAAATACCTATCATCCGATTATCCTTTAACGCATTGACTGAATTTTTTGCTTTTATTTGTTAAATAAATTATTGCATTAAAAATAATTCATAAATTAAGCAAACAAAAATCTGTATTATATTATACGTGTATGGAAAACTAAAAAAAATATGCTTAACAATACTCACAAGATCTTATTTGTATTTATTAATATCATTCTTCAACTACTTTTTATCCTTTAACTTATTGATTTATAAATATTTAAGTTGCTAAAAAACGGTTATATATATTAAATTCAACGATCAAAATATGGTTTATACTTTTAGAAAATGTATATTAAATGAGTAAGGCTATTTAAAAACTATATGCAAAACAATAAAAATAATAGTGAGTAAATGTAAAGGCATTTAGCTTCTGTCAGTCACTAATCGAAGATCACAACCCCTCGAGCTGCGTTTTTCGAGCGTTTTCGAGGCGATTCTGCAAGCGTTTTTCGTTTTTGGAGGAGGGAACCCATTAAATAAACCAAACTCGAAACGAGGCGGCCTAAAACAGCTATTACCATTGCGTAACGGGCAGCGGGTGAAGTTTGACGGTATGAATTGGCCCGGGGCAAACGGCGATTTTGATGGTTCCGTTGTTGGCCAACTCAGCCGACGGCATTGGGCCCAAACCCAAGCCCAGCCTCTAATTAGCCCTTTCGCAATTGCAGCTAAGCCACAAAAAAAAGGCGCAGACGGCGGGCTGTTGGGGGAGTGGCCCTTCCACGCGGTACACACATATATATATTTAATAGTTATAAAATGAGTTTTTGGTCCCGATACCTTGGACTCGGAGTTTGATTAATGAGCGGCTTAAGTGAATCTCATACCGAATCTGAGCCTGCTCGGCCGGCAGACTGATGAAGTCACTAATTTGACTTAAAAACGCATTAAAAACCATTTTCGATAAGAGCTCCGATCGGAGCTCCCAAATTCGTGATTTCAGCGAGGGTTTTCCCGTACTTTTCAGCCTCGTGGTCTATGTGAAAGTTGTGCAAATATAAAATCGAAAAAACCAAAATTAAACGATGAAACCAACAAGGCGACGGATAAAATTCCAAAAGAGTCTCCGAAGATTTGAGAGTGCAAAGCTCTTGCTTTATGGGACATTGCTTATTGGCAATCAGCTGTTAAAATAAATAATGACCGACATTTGGCAAGTAAACTAAGGAATACTCTTTTTAAGATATATAAAAATGATGATACAATTAATTAAATACCGTTAAGAACTTATTTACTACTTAAATATTTGAAAAATATAAAAAAATTAAATTTAGTACTTCTTACTTAATAAATAATAGGTTGTTCTACCCTTTCTTCGTTTTCTTACAAGTGTAAACATAGTTGGTAGTTTCATGAATATGCAATTTTTAAAAATTACTTGAAAAAGAATTTCTTTGTTTGAGCACTTTCTTCCGAATTATTTAATAAGTAAACGCATCCACAAAATACTTATACAAGTTTTGTAGAAATATTTAACAAATCTTATTTTATTAAATCCCATCTAACAAATATACCCCTGCTGCATACTGCCCATATTTCCTCCTTTTGGCAACGCACATAAATTGATTTAAATGCCTTCGTGTAGGTAACTCCTACAATTGTGCGTGGTCTTGGCCATTAAATGCCCTTTCTTGCCAACATTCAATGCCTGAGCCGGAGGCAGAGCCAAATCAACGGCAGCAGTCACAAGTCTGCGACAGATAAAAGCTGTTAAGTGACCTTCATTGGCTATAAAAATCCAAATTCATCGCCCAGCGAACAATGAATCGTATCTATGGGCCAAAACCGGCGGCAATGCCGAAACAACAATTGGCGAGCGGCAAAAATTAACAATTTAAATAAATTCACTTTATTGCAGTTTCGCATATTGACGACAATGTAAAACAAACAATAAAAGTTGTCAATAAATAAAGTTCACGTCATGTTGAATGGCCCGAACGGCTGGACTTCCGGTCTTGATTCGGGCCAAAAAAGAAAAACCGCACATATCATTGGGTATATTGTGTATACGACATGAATCACACGGGCCAAATGAAAAAAGTTCAAAGTTGAGCGGGCTAAATTGAGAGATTAGCTGGGGAGATCAGAGCCGGCCATATCTTTTTGCTATTAATATAGTTTGTGGAGCTGCTCTGACCCAAGCTCTGCTTTTCTCTGCCCAGAGTTCGCGGCTGTTAACTTCGCTTAGACCGCTCAGTTGGCTACGAACCTCTGCCGTGAGCATTGGCAAACGCGTGAAACGGAAAAAACAAAGTCGAAAGCCGAAAAATACAAATTGAAATCTCCGCGCAGTCTTCGGTACGTGTTAAGTTTTTTAATTAGTAGAATTTTCAAGTGAATTCAGTGGCAAAAAGAGAAAATAATTCACAAAAATACAAAAAGCAAAGCTAGCTTAAGTTTAGTGAACAAAAAAAACGGTGTATCAACAGCAAAACAATACAATAAACCGCACTCTAGGTGAGTAATTAATAAAGTGGAATAATTTAACTCCCTACCATAAATTAATAAATTTAATTAATCTGTCATCGCATCTCATCTGATTTATTATATCATTTCATTGTTTCTATTCGTCTATATACTTGTAACTGAAATGTTGGGAAACCAGCAAACACAAATTAAATCAAAGCGATCACAAAACAAAATCCACAAAAAATGCAGACAACACTTTGAGTAACTAAAAACAAAATATAATAAAAATGGGGAAAAAAAAACCTGGCCGTAGCCTTGAAAAGTCGTGCTTAATTCCTCAGCTAAATGCAGGCATAAAATATATGTTTAAAAAATTTTAATGAAGCCCAGCCATTTGTCTGGCTCAAATCGAATCCATTGTTTTAGTCCCTAAATAAGTTTCAAATAACCCAGCCTCTTTGTGGTAACTAAAATCGGAAAAAAGATTGATCATTTACAAATAAACATATTTTATGCTTAAACAAGTTTAGTAAATTCAAAGAAGTTGATATTTTTTAAGGTTAAAGTAATTTTGGTTAAACACAATGTGGGCTTTTAAAATGACTAAGGAATCTCTTCAATAATAAAAAAGAATTCTTTTCAAGATAAAATTATTTTAAATTAATAACTATTAAATTTTTAACAATGCTAGGCCATTTTGATATAAAAAACTATATATACTAATCCCGTATTTATTGATTCTTGTTATACAAAGAGTACTAAACATTTCTTTTAATTAAAAATCAATATAATTAATTAACAGTATTCCAAGTTCACATTATTTTTTTGCAACCTGCTAATGTTTCAATTAGTCGCTAACAAAATATCTAGACTCATCCCCCCTAAACGTGCCAATCGGGTGAATAAGTGAGAATGTCTGGGCGAGACAAAGATAAAGATCCGACAATCGATCATTAGTCAGTCGGGGAATAATCAATTAAATATAGATAGATGATTTTGCGGCCAAATCATTCAAATAAATTGAATAAAGCCCAGCGATCTTGAACACTCAATTTCGAAAATCGAGCCGCAACCAACGGATTAGCCGCTAAAGCTCGGCCAAAG